GGCCTACCCGCCCGCCGAGGCGGCAGGGCCGTACGCGGCTCCCCTGCGCCTGGCCACTGCCTCCTCCGATCTAATAGCGACTTCGCGCAATAAAAAGCTGTATTCCGGCAAAACTTTGACAGCTGTGGCGTCGTGGCAGGTGTCGCCAGGTGGTGCTGTTATACGCGGCCTCCCAAGTTCTAGCCCAGCCGCTGAGCCGTGGAAAGGGAGGGTGATTGGAGTGGATTAATACACGTGAGCGGGTCTGCGCTGGCGTCTGGGGTTGGCGCTGGTGTGAGACTCCCCCGGGACGCGGCCCCGCGTGTGCGTGTCCCCCGTTAGGTGTGCCCGAGCTGTGCGGGTGGAGCGGCCTTGCTGCGCCCGCAGCGGGGAGCGAGGATTTCTTCCACGCCGGGATGCTGACCTCCCAGGTCCGCAGCTGACCTCCCAGGTCCCCCGCAGCCGGACGGTAGCACACCGGTACCTGGCACATGTATGGGACAGTCCGTGACCATGCGGCGCTGTTTGTGATCTCATCCTGAAGACAGCTTTGTGCAATAACCTTCCTTATTGAGGCAGCTTTATTACCGTGTTCTGTGCAGTAGACTAGCTACGCGGAACTGCGTGACACAGAGGGGAAGGCTTTTGACCAAATAACCGGTGGTGGTGGTTTTTATATATGGTGTTTTTATATAGATATACACACACATACATATACATGCCATGTAATGCTCTGGGATCCAGCAGATGCCATGTATTTTTTAACTGTGCTCTCGCTGACGAGAAGCACGTTCCTCGAGATGGTCTCCAAAGAACACAGTTTCAAAATCCTGCCTCTCCCCAGAGGACTGGAACTTAATCAACCACAACTATTTTTCCTATCTGCTCCAGGGCTTTCTTCCCTTGTTGATTACCACTCTGCTTTCAGTTCAATTCTCATCAGTTCAGCCTTAGCTATAGGTTAGTGGTTCCCGCCGAGTTATATTGTGATTACTATTCATTCATACTTTGTTATTATTGTTCTGTTTTAAATTGCGTTTTTATTGTGGTACAGATATGTATTTCTAATTAAAGGAATAGGCCGTTTTAAGTCCCTGTCCTCGGTGCTGGATTTACCGTGAAAATATATTCAAGGTATTAAAAAAGTGGACAACGAAGGAGATTAAAATTCTAATTCCAGAAATGCCAGCAGTATTTGATTGAACCTTGAGCCAAATGCCTTTGCTCTTTCAAGATCAAGAAATTCATCGTAAAGATACTTCGGCAAAGGACATATTTAATAAAAGCAGTGTAGCACTTATACATAGTAAATCAGATACTTTCAGGTATGTTTCCTAAAATTGGTTGTTTTCTTTGCATTACCAAAAACAAAGTAAGCACACAATAAAATTCTGGGAATGTCTTGATCACGCTGACACCCTCATTCTGAAACTCCCTGAAGACACTTCTGAGACATGTTCACCAATGCTACATGTTAGGGTAGTTTTCATATGCTGTGGTTCTGCCATCCTTACAGTAACTAATGCCTCACTCCACAAACATGCCATTTCACAGGCTCTTGCACAAGTAATTTCTTGCCAATAGAAATAAGAAATTCACAGCTTGGCCCACAGTAGTATGCTCCTGAAAAAATAAGTGCTAGAATTAACCTCTGATTTTGTGCATATTCAGCTATATAGCCTGTTCCAACATTTAATGAAGGTAACATTTACACTCCCTTTAAGTATTCCCACTTAAGTGGGCATTGGGTAAGAATCTATAGATTTTTGCTATTGGAGTGCTGCTTTTTTACATGTAAACTGTAGAAATATGAAATCTATTTTTGAAATTTTGAACTTCACCTTCCCTTCCTGCTTTTAGAAAAAACAACTTATTGGTGCCTGTGTGATGTTTCTTCATTTTCTAATGGAATTTAGGTACTTTAAAATAACTGGAATACTCTGTATATTTTTGGATGAAAAAAGAAGCTACAGCTCATTAAAGCAAAGTAAATTGTAACATACTATAGTTTACCTCCTAACCTTGCAAATATTTATACACATACTAAACCACTGTGAATACTGTGAATACTCCCATTGAGGTCAAAGGAACCACACGTGGCACATACAGTTAAGCACATAACCCTGTTACCAGATCAGGACCTTAGCTGGAAATTCTTTGGGAACAAGATCACGTCTTTATTTCTACTTTTACTTATTTTTTTGTGCTTTATGTATGTGACCGGTAGTTACTGAAAAACACCCCAAAGCAGTAGTAGTAATATTACACAACCAATTTTGAACCTCGACAGTCTTAAAACTTCCATTCAGACACAAGGAAATAAACAGAGACACATTTTAAAAGAAACACAGTATTAAAATTCCATATAGCTGATCTCATCTGTCAGAAATGGACTGAACAGTTAATCTGGCAAAGGAAAATGTTAAAGTACTTTTTTAATGTGAAAGAAGGTTGCTCAAATGGTCTAACTCATTAGGTATATAATACCCAGGGCCTCTGCTGTAGAGATAAATAGATAGCTTTGAAGATTACAACTGCTTTAAAATCAGTTGCTAAGAACTGGTGCCCAGAGCTTTTATTTGAACTTGATCCTGGCTTCCTGTATACAGTAACTGCATCTACTCAGTAGTTATTTGCACTTCCACAGCCACCTTGTTTTGAAAGTTTAAAGCTTACTTTCGAGCAGATAGGTTTCAACAGTACATGCTGGAGCTTCCTGTAATTGCTAAAAAGACTAACCTTGAAATTTAAGATTTTAAGGTTGGAGTAAAATTCCAAAACACAAAGGACTACAGTCCCACCAGAAGCAATGCCGGTAAATCTGTAAGAACACATGCACTGCACACTCTGTCGTGCCTCAGCAGGAGCATGTCTGGAAGAGGAGGAATTAGGAGTTTACAACAGTTTTGTGTGCAGTGTGAGGACAGCGTGTGGATCATCAGGTCTTGGTGTACCTGCTGAACAGGCATGTCCAGTAAAATGTCCTGGGCAAACCTGCCAGTGAAAAGGAGTCCATGTTTCCCTGTGGTTATCAATCGATGTGCCCATTAAAGATGGCCAGTGGGGTTCATCTCCACTCAGAGACAGGTAACTCCTCAAATTATAATTACCTTTTGTGTGAGAGGTAAACAAAAGGGATAAAGCTCCTGAATGTCTTCCCTTCCAATGCACTCCAGCTACAAAGGTCCTAATTTGGCACATACAATAGAAAACTACATGCGGGCCATTTTATACATTTTATATTTTTTTCTGGCATAAACCCAGTTACTTTCTTTATGTGATGGCAGTGTTGCAAACTGAACAAAATATCAAAAGGAAGGCAATTTGCTTACAGTGCACGTTTGTAATCAAGACAAACAAAAGGGAAGCTGTATTTGATGACTGTTTAAACTTTTAAGCCAATAGCATGCATGCTTATTGGCTTAAACTCAAAGTAAATAGAACAACTTTGTGGATGTGTAAAGAAATCTTCTTTGGTGTTTAAAAGTAGGATTGGAAGACAGTACAACCTGTACAAAGGAAGTATGGTGACTGTGTACAATGAAACAAAGTTTTGTGAAAAGAATGGGTATGAATTGCATAGCAATAAGCAACTTCTGTTGTCTGTGGCAACAAATACTGACCACTAGTAACGAGTTCAATTGGCAGTAACATCAAGGTTCTGTTATTCCTCTTGAAACTAGACCATCACACCAAAATTTGCACCAAAACTAATTTTAAAAAAATATAAGCCCCTCATGTAAAATATATTTTTGCCTTAAAATGTATCTGTATATATGGTGTCTAACAATAGAAATTCAGGGAAAAAAGATAACTTGATCTTCCGTTTGTTCAGAAGCTTGTTTAATTCTTGGAGATGTTATGTATAAAACCATTCTTTAGTTGTAATGTAAATCCTAACATGATATATGCTATCAAAACTACATCATCAGAGAAGTGTGTGTGTGTATGTTTGTGTGTCTCCAATGCAATTAAGCTTGAACTATGGAAATGTTGAAGAGCTGGCTACTCCATGCAAGAATAATCCTCAGGAGTGCTGATTCTTCCTCATGTAAATGGAAACACTGTCCCTGCCTTTGGACATTGTATGTAAAAAGCAGATGAAATTCCAAGTGAGGAAGAAAATTGTAGGTCTTCATCAGAAAAACATTACCTTATAGGGCAAGGTTTTATAAAAAAGAATGTCTTGGGTTATATACTTAACCTATGCACCAAAATAAATGTTATTTTCCAAAGCAGCAGACTTCAGAGGGTAAAATCTTCAGTTCTTTGCTCACAACTCAAACTGTAAACCTGCAGATCTCTTCTTATCCTACAAGGCTTTGAACCTTATAGTACAGTGTATATTAGGGGGTTTTGGCCTTATTATCATGGCTGCTTCTTGACTGATCCAACAGCAGCGGTAGTTACAGCAAATGTATTTGTGCAACTAATAACTCTGTTTGCTGCTAGTGTTTTAAGCAGATTATCATCTAACTTGGATAGCACCTGACTAGTGGATCCAACGCAATGGTAGCTAAGAGGAAGCCTAGAATCAAAGCCTTAGGTCAGATTCCCCAAAGGTAGTTAGGAGCTGAACTCCTAAGGAGATCTGAATCCCACTCAAAGTGTTTATACATCACTTGATTTCAGCGAGTTTCGGGTGTCAGGGCTCACCAACAGCCTTGACTGTCCCTGGCCAGCCTCTTCTGGGGCCTCCCTCATGACTTTCCTG